AGTGTTGGACTGGATGGGCCTTTGGCCTGATCCAACATTGGCATCTCTTCTGTTCTTATGTACTTCAGCATTTTGAAGTCAGTAGTTTCTTAGGCTAGAGTCAGGCCCTTGGATGAGCCTGATTAACTGTTTGGGTCCTCTTTACCAATAACAGACCTTCTACGTGACACCTCTGAATTTTTGGAATACATCCTGCCACCTAGAGGACGACGCTTCCACTCACCATTGTTTTAATTGAGCCAAAAGATGTGATGGCCTGGCGAAGAAAGGACACGTCGGCCTCAAAGTTCAGGACGGACGGTTCTTCTGGTTGGAGTGTTAAGTCGCCCAATCTGCAAGGCCAAGGATTTTTAATTAAGAGACGCCTAATGGATTCAACAGAACTCTTCCCCCAGCTCCAAGCTGAGGTAGCCACTGTTGGCATGAAGAGGGTGAACAGATCCCAGAGCAGAGAACCAGAATTCAGGTGCCATAATGTATTCTGATCTGAAAAAACAAAATGCTCCCTCTAAACTGCGGAGTCTTATGAGCAAAAATTCTACTTTGTGAGCTACTGGCATCAAAGTTGTGAGCAAGCGATTTGGCTGCTGCATAAATCAGTTTGCTCTGGAGCCATCCTTCCTGAGCTAAGACAAAAATGCGTGAGCCAGAGGCTAAAGAACTGCGAGCTAACTCACACTAACTCAGCTTAGGGGATTTATTTGCCAGCATCAAAACCAGATCCGTACGATAATGTACTCCACCACTGGTGGCAAGTAACTCCTTCCAAAAGGACCACAATCTTTCAGAACAGATTTCAAGAAAGTAATTACTGAGTTTCTCTTAAGCCGTAGTCTCCCACAAATGGCATGCAATCGTTGACACCTCAGAGGACTGAAATAATTCAGAACCCAATAAATAGCCAATCGGAATCTTGCCGAACCACTTACCTCTCCAAGCACACTGAAATCTGATTGGCCAGGTCGTTGCTGTGCGGCTGTTCCAGCTGGTGGATGAGGCAGTTGAATTGTCCCAGCAACTGAGAGACAAAAATATAAAAATGACTCCCGTGACGCCTCCCAAGAACACAGGGTCCCGGCATCGGCAGAGCTTGAATACGGAGCTGCAGCTCCTACGTTGGCCGGAAGCTCAAAGCCCCACCCCTGCCCCCGAACCGTGAGTAGCCCGAGCCGAGGTGGTGCCCCCGAGATCTTACCCAGAAGAGCTGCTGCGCCTGCTGCTGCAAGGCCTCCTCCTTCAGCTGCTGGATGAGGTCCACCTGCTCAAGGAGCCACACTTCGCGGCTGCGCAGGCATTCCAGGTGGCGGCTGATGCAGCTGTGGATCTGGGCTTTGACCTGCAAAGGGGTGGGGGAGGAAGGCCAGACCCTGGTCACCATCCGCACAAAAAGCTCCGTCGAGCCATACTTCATATGAGACATGGGGATCGCTAAGACACATTCAGAACATCTCTTGTCCTATCAAGTCATCGCGGCTCCGTCTTCTTGCGTTTTCACGAGGCAGCTCTCCCCGGTACAGGACTGTTTCCCTGCAGAACAACTGGGCGTCGGGGGGTCAAGTTCCAGGAGAGGGTGGCATCCTGGGCCACAGAGTGCCTTCCACCCATCTGAGCAAGCCCTGGATGAAATTAATGGCTTTCCAGCAAAGAAGAGATTGGATTTATACCCCGCCCTTCACTACCCAAGGGAGTCTCAGAGAGCGGCTTACAAACATTCTTTCCTTTCCCCTCCGCACAACAGACACCCTGTGAGGTAGGTGGGGCTGAGAGAGCTCTGAGAGAAACTGCTCCTTTTTCCCCCAAGAACAGCTCTCTTATCAGAACTATGGCTTGCCCAAGGTCATCCAGCCAGGTGCAAGTGGAGGAGTGGGGAATCAAACCCGGTTCTCCCAGATTAGAGTCCGCACACTTAACCACTACACCAAACTGGCTCTCTCAGCAAAGGATTCCTCATTGTCCTACACTGTATATCAGGGGTGGAGGAGGTGCACGGACTGTGGCCTCGTTGCTACATCATCCAAACTGACTTGGAAAGAAGGGAATTCATCAGAAAGTCACTCTCCTCCTTCTCATGTTCCCCTGTGCATGGGAGTATCCTGCTCTAGTCCTTTAACAAAGCCTTCCTCTGACACAAAAGCCTTTTGAATCGGGGAAGGCACACTCTCCCGGAGAAAGCCACCTCCACTACCAGGAGGGGGTCCAGGAGAGTTGACCTACTTCCCCAATCTGGGAAGAACAGGAATGTACTGAAGGTGGGAAGCGTGAAACCAAGTTATGCATAACAAATAAAACCAAGTGCCAGGTTCCTTGTTTATCCCAAAATACTTCATACAGCATCTGGAGGCACCGAGTAAGTTATCCCAGCTTATCCAACAATTAAATTGTGACATCATATTTTCTTACCAATGTTGGGGGATGGGGGGGACTCTAAACTGCTCAAGTCAGTTCCATGAATTTAAAACAAAAAGCTTCAAGGTCACCTAAAGAAACTTCTGCCACAATACGGGTGTCCATTTTATTCTGCACAACCGGGTTAGCTATGATAAAGTATCCTCCAACTTGCAAAGCAGGAAGCACTGCTTGCTTCATGAGGATACACTTCAGAACACCTGGAAAAGCGTCAAGGAGGTCTCCAGGGAAAACGCAGAGGCGAACTTTGTTGTGGCCGTCGCACTTCACTTACCTCTTTCCAGTTGTCTTTAACTTGTTGCTCTGCCTTGACTATGCCAGTGATCGCCGTCTCCAGATCTTTCTTGGCCTGAAGGCACTTGACAAGGGGCTCCTTGCTGCAGGAGGTATTCTCTTGGGCTGGGCTCATCCTTGCTAATTCTGAAGAAGGGAAACATGTACGATTACCCTGTAAGATGTCGTCCACAAAGAACAAAAGCAGCTGCACGCCGCGGACTGCTGTTTGTGCCACAATGACTGGGCTTGGGGGCCGAAATCGGTTTGCGGCTCTCCCTGCCACCTTCTATGGGGGGCCCTACTGCCCACGTCTTGCTTCAGCTGTGCGGTGGACAGCAGCCCTGACTCGCTGACACACCTGGCTTGCCTCTGACCCACTTCCGCATGACAGTATTCCCTCACTGGGTCACCGGCCCTGGACAAAAGCCAGATCACCAACGCTTGGCCTCGATCTCTGTATGCAGAGAACCTCAGCGGAATGTAGATGGAAACGGTGCCGTCAAAGTGGAACAGGGAAGCAACCTCACAATCTCGCAAGCTCCAAGGGTCACCGGAATGACATTTGCTGATTTGAAAATTGCATTTGTGGACTCTGCATCCAGTCTCTGACAGCACCATGATGTGTTGCTCAGCCTAGCCTTCTAATTGCTTTCCAGGCTAGGGAGGAGGAACAGGTCCCACAAACTCAGTGGCAAGGGGCAGGGAGATGCAGCACAGGCAAATTGTGCCCAGGCCAGTCATGTCACAGGTAATGCCTCCTATTCGGCTGGATATTCGGAAAAACTTTTCCAGGGTCAGAGTGGTTCAGAGGTGGAACCGGCTGCCTAGGGAGGTGGTGAGCTCCCCTTTACTGGCAGCTTTCAAGAAGAGGCTGGATGAATATTTGTCAGAGGTGCTCTAGGCTGGTCCTGCACTGAGCAGGGGGTTGGACTAGAGGTCTGTATGGCCCCTTCCAACTCTGTGATTCTATGATCTTCACGCTTTCCTGCCAGGCTCAAACTGCATTTAAGTCATGCCTGAAAGCCTCAGCCTGCAGCCAGGGACTACTAGTTCTAGCTTCCGCGTGCTTCCTTGCATCTCCTGGATCCAGGGGCAGATTAACCATTAAGCAGACTAAGCACGTGCTTAGGGCATCAGGGCCAAAGGGGGCACCACAAAGTTGGGAAAAGGGTGAAAAGCTTAGTCTGTACAGTATATTGTGTTACCATATGAATACATTTTGTTATTGCTGCAACCTGCATTCTATATCTGGTCAGACAGGTCAACAACTAAAATGGACTGGGTCATTGTGGAAAGGAGGGGGGGCACCAAGATTGGTCAGTGCTTAGGGCACCAGTGAGCATTAATCCGCCCCTGCCTGAATCAACACTGCTTTTCTATAGTAGTTCTACCAGATATCTGCGCATCTGGCTTGATCATAAATCTTGCTGAACCACACCAGCCTGCAACGTGAAGATGCCCACCCTCTCCCTTAAGGCAAGCTGCCCTCACCCGCAAAACTCAGCACATATGGGGGAAAGGGTTCAAATCATCCCCCCCTATGATGTCAACCAGGGTTAGTTTACTAGTACTGCAATATGCATAACTGCAGCATGGGGACCAGGAGACATGGGAAGAGGTATAAAAAGCATAAGAGGGAAATAAAGAGTGAGGAGATGCAAGTTAGGAGCAACAGCAAGGTTGCCACTAAAATTTTATTTTTACTTTCCCTGACCAACATTTGTCAATTTCCCTGACCACCATTCAAATATAACCACAAGTTGCATTAACGCAAGGTAAGGCTCCACTCTACAACTACACATGTCTCAACTGCAAAACTATTTGTCAAAGAGATTTAATATCAGCTTCTTTCAACATTAACTGCAGCAACATCTGTTTTGCAATGGCACCAAAAAATTACACCAAGATACAAATTTCAATTCAAGTAAACTCTGGATGCTAACAAATTGACATAACATTTTTGTTGTCGTCTTAAAGGTACACTAAAAATTATATAAACGTTCTATCTAAAACGGTTGGGAAAGGGCATCACTGAGTTCTACTTGTATTCTGCTACTTCGCTATTCCAGTTGCCACAAGAACAGATCATGCCCTTGCAGTAGCAGGTCCACTGCTTGAATATATTTTAATCACAATTTCCCTGACCAATTTTCATTTCCCTGACTTTCCAGAAAGTGGCAACCCTGGACAGGGAGAAGGTCAGATCGGGCTGACCGCTGGAATTCAGGCCCTGCTCCACCCCCTACAGCTTTAGCAAAGGCCGCCACATCTGCAAAAGGTCTCTGCACCCACATGGACCAACCACTCGCTCTCTGTTTCAACCACTCGCTCTCTGTTTGTTAATCAAAGCTGAGAGCCTCACAATTCCAGTTGCATACTGCAGGCCCCACACTCCACAGGTATTTCCATTGTTCCGTTTCTGTGCTTTAACTCTAATTTCAGATGCTTTCTTTCCATTTCTGTGGCCTTGCTTTTTTTTTAATCCTAAAGACATGCACAGAACATGCCAGACTCACTGGACAAAATGACAAGGAAACTTAATAATATGGAGGCAGAAGAATTTTTTGCAGACTGGAAAGACCTCAAAGACTATTTGGAGAAATACCGGGATGTAAAGGACAATTTGCTTTGAGAATTACTGAAAATTGAAAGATAACAGAAAATAGATGACGTATAAGAAGATGTAAATAGGGAAATAGGGAGGTATGAAGGAAATTTAAGAATTGGGCTGGAGGTTGGAGCACTGTGGGAAGCCAAGAAAGGGGGGGAGGGAGGAGGGAAGGATATATAATTGTATAAGATTTGATATATGTTTAGGCTTTATTATATTCTAATAAATTGTTTTTACAAAAAAAAACCAACATGCCAGACTCCAGTTTATTCACCCCCCAGGGTTAAACATTCCCAACAGCCCCCCCAGTACTTAATGACCTAAATAGGTATTTTTAAAAGGATACCGTCACCTCTAATTTTCCTTTCAAAGAAAAGGCCTCCTCCTTTCCTATGCTAGCACAGCTGGAGTAAAAAAAATGCCTGTAAATAGACTACACTCTACCCAGAAATACCCATTTCCTTCGAGAGTTTTGGAACCAGACTCCTGTGCAATGCAAGGCTGCACAAGCGAGAGAGAAAACCAAGGCAATTTTGCAGCCCAGCGTCTGCTCAAGAGGAAGCGCCACTGCAACATGCACCTTGCAATGCAAAGTCCCTAGCTAGCATTCAGCAACGATCCGATCCGTGTTTCCCCGGGAAGCGGAGCCCCTGCTCGTTCAACGGATCCGGCCTACCTCGCTTGCAAGTCCGCCTTCTCGGGAGGATGCGGGCGGGTTCCTCTCCAGCCAAGACGGCCGCCTTCTGCAGCCCGAGATAGATCTATCGGAAAAGCCAGACGGCGGCTTTAAATGGGGCCTGCCTGCGTCGCTGGGCCCGCCCGCTCCCCGCCTCCCCGCCCGAGCACACGTGGCTCGAGAGCCGCCACTGCCGGGACGCCGCTTTGCACGTCTGCACCGAGGAGCGGGGGAGGGGGGGGGAGAGAGGAAAAAACAAGATCCGGGACTGCCCAGCAGCTCCCGCGGGAGGAAAGAGGCCGAGGCCCGGCCCACTCCGAGCCCAGGCGAGGAATGCAAAAGCAAGCCTCGCCGAGTCAAGCTGCAAAAAAGGACGAGTCGCCCCCGAGAGGGGGAAATCCGCATCACAAAGCCCGGCGGAGCGCCTGCCTGTCTCGAGTTTCCTGTCCGGGTCTTTCCTGCACAAGCAGTTTCGCGACTAACAAAAGCCTGTGATCATCAGGGCCTTTGTCCTCCCGAGCAGCATCCACCCCCCCCCCGCTTCCTTTGTCCTCCCGGGCAGCATTTTCCTCGCTCCCACTACGCCAG